CGATTGCCACGAAGCAGCGCAGCAAGGGCGGCGGAACCGGGGGGGGGGGGACCCCCCAAAAAAATATTATTATTATTATAATTAGTAATTTATGTCTTTTTTTTATGAATTATTCCTAAAACTTAGGCCTAGGTCCTATATTTATCTATGTTCCTGTATATACTATATTCTATTCACTAATACATTAACTCTGTAGGTTACTTTGTGCCCTTTTTACATGATAAACGTGCCTTTTTTACATGATAAACGTGCCCTTTTTTGGCTTTGCCCCCCCAAAAAATTAAATACGTTTCGCCGCCCTTGGCAGCGCTGACCTCATACATGACCTGACCTGACCTGACCTGACCTTACATGGTGTGACGTAACCTTACATGATCTGTCGTGACCTTACATGATCTGGCGTGACCTTACATGATGTCACGTAACCTTACATGACCTGTCGTGACCTTACATGATGTGACGTCACCTTACATGACCTGTCATGACCTTACATGATGTCATGTAACTTTACATCATGTCACGTAACCTTACATGACCTCATATGATCTCATATGACCTCATATGGCATGACCTGAGGTAATGACATTTTTGTAATGACCTCCACTCACAGACACGGACACACATGGTCACAGGTGAATCAGCTAATGTCAGATTTACCTTATGACTTACCTATGTGACTTAGCTTATATATATCTTACCTGTAAATGTATACCTTGCCCGCGTGTTTTTCCTGCAGACGTGACGTCATAGCGGTCACGTGACGTGTCGGGCGGGGACGGCCAGCGGCGACGTCGCTTGTTTTTTCCGTCGTCGCCGCCGCCGCAACAGCAATCGCCAATCAACTCTATTGCGATCAATGTTTAATTGCTCAATTAATTCTTAATAGTCTGCATGTTGGACGGAGGCGGCGGCTGCGCGGAGTTTAGACGGGCGCTGCGTCCCACCAGCCGGGGGGCGGCGACCGCGCTGCGGAGGTCGCGGCGGCAGTCTACGGCTCTTAGCTGATTAGATTTTTTTATGGCTGCGAGGAAAACAAACGACTTGGAACAAGACGGACATTGCTGGGAGAAGAGGAGGAGGAGGGAGAGGACGAGGAGGGGGAGGGAGAGGGAGGAGGAGAGAGGAGGGGGTGAGGAAGGGGTCTTGTGTGCAGCTGTAACGAGGCATGAATGCCTCGTATTTCTATTTTATACGTATCTTATTTCTATAAATATTCGTATTCGTATTTTATGTGATGCTTCGTAGTTCTAGAGTGTAATCTCCTTACTTGATTTTCCCTGCTTCTCTCGTCTCTCTCTCTCTTCATCTCTCTCCTCCTCTCTCCTCTCTCTTTCTCTCCTCTCCTCTCTCTCCTCTCTCTCTCTCTCTCTCTTCTCTC